TTGTCTTCATTAGCTATTATTGGAAAAAAGGAATCAGGGCAGCAGAAAGTAATGCAAAGGCTTACTTATAACCTCTAGTGACATCTTTCAGGCATTGTTTTATGGCATAATGTTTTGCTAATTTACTGAAATAATTCTGAAATTATTTATTATTTAAAACTTTAGATTACTTCTGTGAATCCACATTTTTTGAAGAATAGTTATGCCTAAGGGCAGGAAGTTGGACAGTTTTACTTCTAAAGATTGCTTCCAATCCTGTGACCTTATGAATCTATGTGTTTTTCTTCCTTCTGGATATATTTCCATACCCAGAGTTCCCAGTGACTTCAGATGGGTTACATGGAGTTTTACGGAAATTAGTAGAGATTAAATACTGTATTAACAGTAAAACCTAGTAATTAAGATGTTTGGCTAAATAAACTCAGTTAGCAGAATTTAAATTTTGTATTATTCCTTAGAGTTACTCAAATTTGAAGTTTTTAAGTGATTAATATGTAGACCTCTCAATGACGTATTTGTATTTTTTAACATTAAAGTTTTTGTATGTTGGAGGAGTAAAATGTAACTTTTAAATTTTTGTGTTAAAAGTTGTTAATGATTACTTTGTTTGATGGTGTCTCATAATTTCCATAAGACTTCTTCATTTGTTTTTTATTCTCATTTATCCTCTGATTGGATAATTTCAGATGTCTTATCTTTGAGCGCACTGACTTATTTATTCTGGATGAAGTCAGCTGTTAAAGTATTCCATTGAATTTTTCATTTCAGTTGTTGTATTCATTATCTGTAGGATTTCTGTTATTATTGTTTTTATTTCTTTATCAGACTTATCATTTTGTTCATAAATTGCTTTCCAAAATTTATTTAATATTCTATTCATGTTTTCTTGTAGTCCCCTGAACTTCTTCAGGAGACTTATTCTGAATTCTTTGTCAGTTATTTTATAGATTTCCTTTCTTTTGGGTTCATTACTGGAGCTTCATTTCTTTTGTTCATTATATTTTCCTGATTATATAAAGAAGAGCTGAATTTTAAACCAAGTGTATTCTACATTTGTTTCTTTTTTGTAATTTTGGAAATATCATTTTCCATAGAAACTGTTAAAATATGCAGATTCTAAAGCCAATCCAGAAAAAAAAATATTGCGTTGGAGAAATAGCACTGTTATTACCATTTTATCTACCACTAAGGCCATTTTAAGTTTGATTTTTATCACATTTTCTGAGTTTCAACATTAATTCCTGGAATCTCTATTTTTTACAAAAACTTCTTTAGATTTCATGGTGTGGCAAAGCTGGAGCAGGACATAGATACCGATATTTGTGTGTTGCTTTTATACTTGTATAAGAGAAAAACCCTCACTCTAAACCATTATTTTTTAAACTAGGTTCAGCAGAACTCTAAACTTTGTGAAGGGTGCCTCAACCTTGCTTTCCAGTAGAACAGCTTTGTTTTTATTTGTTTAATATACTGGGATTTGCCTAAGAGTTTATTCTTTTAGTTATTAACCTGATGATGAAATTGGGCCCTTGAGTAAGCCTTAATAGATTCATATTCATCTCTGATATAACGAATTTTGGAAACATAAGTTACTTCATCTCTCTGTGCTTAGTTCCGTCATTTGTAAAATGGAGATAATGAAGGTACTTATTTCATATGGCCTTTGTGAGAATTAAATACTACATGTTCATTATTTAGAATAGCATTTGGGGTTCAGTAAATGCATGAAATTTTGTAATAAATTAATACATCTTTGTTAGAACTGGCATCTATTTGATGGCACACTTAGAGTCTTACCAATCATATTGTTGACCTAATGGAGGGAATGGAAGTGGTGAAGTGGATTCAGAGATGGAAGCTAGAATAAAAAATTTAGTACCTCTCTTTCAAAGGGCAGCTTATAAGCTCAGATAAAGAATCTTGCTGTGAAAGAGTGTAGAAATGATTGATACAAAAAGGAGAGGTTTTTTTTTTTTTTTTTGGTGTGTGTTTTAATGTGTGTGTGTGAAGACTTTAAGATGCTACTAAAAGGAAGTTTATTTCAGCCTGTTGTAAACTAAAGTTGTTTGTATATAACTTCCATTTTAGAAACAGTCAACTCTTCCAGATCTTGTTTCTATGATTAGTTTCACATCTTTTCCATTGGTTCTCTGAACTCATTAAAATTTGAATATCTGAATCTGTGTTCCTGCAATATTTGTAGAGAACCAACTTCCAAAAGGATTATAATTACTGAAACATTCATTGAGTCAGCATGGCTTCCAAATTTTTCATAGTAAAATTACTCTTTCAAGTTTTAGGATTGATTACTAAAAGATAGATTTTGACATCATCAGATCCAGCTATCTGATTTTGTAGTTGAGGAGGAACTGAAGGAAAAGAATGTCTTGGTTGAGATGAATTGATTAGTTATTGTGAGGTTTGAAATGATAATTATTCTTCAATAGAGATGCTTTCTGAATACCATACTTTCATCATAGGTTAATATTTCTTTTTCTTAGAATAATTTTGCCTTGTATTTTCTTAAATTTTTGTTAAGAAGACAAGGCAATTTCTTACAAATTATTGATTATGATGCCTCTGACTTCTCAAGAAGATAGAATAGAAGGGTTTCTTTCTGCTTTTGCTCGTTTGCTCACTGAATCAAGTGTGTAATAAGCATAAAAGGAAGAGATGTGAGAAGATTAATAAGGTATTATCTAATATGTCTGTTAATATGACATATTTTAGCTATTTAGTCTTTTACTATATCTAGTTTCATTATAATTTCTGGAGAGATTCAAATTCTGAGTTTTCTTAAATTAAAACTCCCCCCTCAAATAACAAACAAAATTTGCTTCAGTAAACAAAATTACCTGTGAATTTTGCATGTTTCCCAAAGATTTTATTGTAAACAAATGTCTGTTATAAATTTCTCCAGTGAAAACTTGGAATTGAGTATTGAAAGAAGTAGTTGACTGTAGTCTATTCTAGTTCCTTTGGTGAAATATCAAAGCTGTTGGTACTTAGTCCACACCGTAAACTACTCAGAGTTATTTAATCATAGGCTAGCTTTTATCACTGTCATTGTTTATTTACCATTTTCTTCCATTTCTGTCCCCTCCCAGATATTTTTCCTATCTTTCCCATTGGTAGAAATGCACAGTAGTTTCAGAATAATCATACCTAAAACACTGTTAGTCAAATCTGCTTTAAAGGACATATTCTAAAATTGAATGCCTTCTTTTATAATGTCTACATAGCAGCAGTAGCAATTTGTTTCTCCCTTTTTCAACCCCTCTCCCTCAGGGAATAAATGATATAAGTTGTAGTGAATTGTTTGAACAAAAAGCACAGACTAAAAGAACCATATTTGTCATCATGGGGGACTGTCATGCAGAGGAGAGAGGGGACTCAGGGACAAGATACCACTGATGGGAGAGTTTTGATGGTGTAAAGAAGTGAGAGACTCACACAGCTTTGAGGAAACTAGAAAATAAATATGACCTAATTAAAGAGTTTCTGCATAACAAAATAAACTATCAACACAATAAACCGACAACCTACAGAATGAGTGAAAATATTTGGAAACTATGCATCTGACAAAGGTCTAATATCCAGAATCTATAAGAAGGTTAAACAAATTTACAAGCAAAAAACAACTCCATTAAAAAGTGGACAAAGGACATGAAAATACAGTTTTCAAAAGACGACATACATGTGGCCAATAAACAGATGAAAAAATGCTTAGTATCACTATTCATTAGAGAAACACAAATCAAAACCACAATGAGATACCTTCTCACACCAGTCAGAATGGCTATTGTTAAAAAGTCAAAAAATAATAGATGCTGGTGAGGTTGTGGAGAAAAGGGAATGTTTATACACTGCTGGTAGCAATGTAAATTAGTTCAGCCACTGTGGAAAGCAGTGTGGCGATTTCTCAAAGAACTTAAAATAGAACAACCATTTGACTCAGCAATCTCATTGGGTATATACCCAAAGGAATATAAATAATTCTGCCATAAAGACACAGGTGTACTCATATGTTCATAGTGGCACTATTCACAGTAACAAAGACATGGATTCAAGCGAAATGCCCATCAATAATAGACTGGATTTAAAAATATGGTATATATACACAATGGAATAATGTACAGCCACAAAAATAATTAGATCATGTCCTTTGGAGTAACATGAACAGAACTGGAGGCCATTATCCTAAACAAACTAACACAGCAACAGAAAACCAAATACTATGTGTTCTTATAAGTGTGAGCTAAACATTGAGTACATATGGACACAAAGAAGGGAAGAGTACATACACACTGGCAACTAGTTGAAGGTGGACTGTTGGAGGAAGGAGAGGATTGAAAACTAACTAGGTAACAAAATAATCTGTATGCCAAACTCCCAAGACACACAGTTTACTTAAAAATTAAACTACACATGCACCCCAGAACCTTAAATAAAAAATAATTAAACCATCTTTAAAAAAGAATGGAAGGGAAAACCATGCAACTAAATAAAACAACTGTGAAATAATTCTCCACAGTCATTATGTCATTTTCACTCCCACTACAAATATATGAGAGTTTCAAGCAAAAAAATAAAATATCGTTGCCATTTGGTGTTATTAATCTTTTTGATTTTAGCTACTCTAGTGAGTGTGAAATGTTACCCTAATGTGGTTTTAATTTATATTAGATCATGTTGACCACTTTTAAATGTACCTACTTGCCATTCTTTTATCTTCTTTTATGAAGTATATATTCACTCTTTACTTTGATATGTAGTAGTTTGTATATATTGTGGATGTGTCTTCCTCTGTACAGCTATCTTCTTGCTTCTATTTAACAGTAACAACAACCAAAGGATGTTATACATAAAAGATATTGATAACATTTAGTACTTCTAAACTGCTGGCAGTTTTGGAAGGAAAGTAATCAGCATTTAAAACACAGACTTTATAATTTTAAATTTAAAACAAAAATTATATTCTATTTTGTTTTTGATTTCAGGTGCAATTAGAAACTAGCATTTCTAGTCAGTATGTAATTCGGATGCAGCCAACTAATAGATGCCTTTCTACACTGGAGTGTGCAGCTGTTGCTCTTTCCATCCTGGAGAAAAATAATTATATACAAGAGGTATGTATTTGGAAGGTTATAATTTTTGAAAGTGGAAGCTTTCTTAGATTTTACATAGAAGATTTAGACATGATTGTTAAATTTGTAACTCATGTGACAAGTAGAATCTTCTGTGATAGAAATTTATGTACTTTTATAACCTTCTTTCCCCTCTGGTGTTTTTCTGTGTTAGCTTAGCATTCCAGATTGCATTATTTAAATATTCATACTAAGCTGTGCAAACAGCATTTGTAATATGCTAAATTACATTTAAGTAGCACAACATTAAATAGTTTTTGGCTAGATTTGTCTTTTAGTGTTTTCTCTTTTCCTTTTAGTATTTTGTGTTCTCTTATGCTCAGCCTTTTCTTCTTTTTTGTTAAAAGAACATTCTATAGCAACATTTTTCTTTTTGCATTGGTGCCGTTATTATGAGTTGGTATACTAACTTTCTGTTCTTGTATTAACCTTGCTTAGAGTGTAATAATAAATTTTTCTTTCTTTTCCTTTTCTTTCTTTCTTTCTTCTTTCTTTCTTTTTCTTTCTTTCTCCTTCTCTCTCTCTCTCCTTCCTTCCTTCCTTTCTACCCTCCCTCCCTCCTTCCTCCTTCCTTCCCTCCTTCCTTCTTTCCTTCCCTCCCTCCCTCCCTCCCTCCCTCCCTTCCCTCCCTCCCTCCCTCCCTCCCTCCTCCCTTCCCTCCTCCTTCCTTCCTTCCTTCCTTCCTTCCTTCCTTCCTTCCTTCCTTCCTTCCTTCCTTCCTTCTTTCCTCTCACTCTGTTGACCAGGCTGGAGTGCAATGGTGCAAACTCGGTTCACTATAACCTCTGCCTCCTGGGTTCAAGTGATTGTCCTGTCACAGCCACCCAAGTAGCTGGGATTACAGGCGCCTGCCACCACGCTCAGCTAATTTTTGTATTTTTAGTAGAGATGGGGTTTCACCTTGTTGGCCAGGCTAGTCTCGAACTCCTGACCTCAGGTGATCTGCCCACTTCAGCCTCCCAAAGTGTTGGGATTACAGGCGTGAGCCACCATGTCCAGCAAAAAGACATTTTTCTTGAGAAAAATAATGCCTAGAGAAGATGAGAACATTATAACCTGCAATTATTTTATTTAATTTGTATGACAACATGTTGATTTTATGTATAATTAATAATCACCAGCAAAGAATAATGTTTCACTTTGCTTACTAACATCTCAGTCTTTTGGAACATATAAGAAACTTTGCATTTGTAACAAAAGAAAAAAAAATAGTGAAAAAACCCTAAGTTGTTAGTTTTTTTTAATTATTGAAAAATTTTGATAAATAAAACTCAAGAAGAAAATCAGAGGATAACAAGCACAACTAAATGGGATTAATGACACCCCCTTCAAAACACAGCATAAACACATGCATGCACACACATACGTGCACACACACGTGTGAGGAACTCTTTCCTGCCCTCTTTCTTTCTCATTATACATTGTGGTTACAGGTATGAGTATGCCTTAAACATGAAGGAAATTTCAGTAATGGATATAAGCTCAATTCAGCGTAAATGTGATAGTTACCAAGATATTAATCCTAAAGAGAACAAAAATATCTCAAAAGCAAGGAGTGTTAAAGAATGTTAGAAGCAAGCATTAAATTGCTTTTTTCCTCTCCTCTACCCTAAGCTGTGGAAAATGTCCCTTTCTTTTGAAAGAAGTAGGCTTTTCTATGTAGCCTCTGTGTGTGTGTGTGTGTGTGTGTGTGTGTGTGTGAGAGAGAGAGAGAGAGAGAGAGAGAGAGAGAGAGAGAAGAGAGAGAGAGAGAGAAGACTTTGTTTTGGGTCTAGGCAATTTCACTTTCTCTGTTCTTTGAAAAAATATTCGTGAAAGACCCTAGATTGTTACTTTAAATGAGCAAGGAGTATTCTCAGACACTTTTCCATCTCTTTCTAACCTTGTCATCTACTCCGATGTCCCTAGCCATGAACACAGTACTTTACATACCCCATACTTGTCTTTCTGTTTCGTTTATTTACCATCATCTCTGTATTAAGCAAATATATATACATACACAATCTTTATACGTGTCTTAATAGTAATGATGTAACTCAGTGCTGTTTTTTAAACTTGCTCTGTCTACAGTCTCTGTATCTTCTTTTTTGTTGATGTCAAACTCTAGGATCAAACGATATCAGACCAAAGACCCATTGAAAGTTCAAATTTTGAGGGAAGAATATATTCCTTAGCTAATAGATTTAAAGCTTGCGTTTCTCTCCTTTTGGGTTCCAGAAAGTATTCTCTATGGACCTGTATCTCTTCTCCCCACAACTGGAATTGGATCTTTACTGCAATCCAAAACGGAACCTTTAATGTTAGTAATGGTGTAGTTATGGTAATAGTAGTCGTAGAATAATAGAGTTAAGGATAGGGTTTCTGCTACTACTATTACTATTACTACTGCTACTACTACTACTACCACTATTACTACAACTACTACTTATTCTGCTAGTGCTCCCTTCTCTCCATTTTTATATACTACTACTACTACTACTAATTCTGCTAGTATTCCCTTCTCTTCAGTTTTATATTGTTTTGGTGTTAATTAATATAACATCTACTTGTAAAAAAAGATAAATTTAAAAATCAATGTACCATTATTTTAGGATCCTATTAGCTAAGAATGTTTCAGGCTTTATTTTACAAATATGTGAGACTCTACAGGGTATTAGAATGAATTTTTTCCAAGTTGACTGATAAGGAACTTTTTGAAATAATGTGTAACATATATTTAGGACAACTTTCTTAATGTTGTTTTAGGGCTTCTTCTCTATCAGCATTTTTTTAAATTCTTTCATTACTTTTATTGTTTTATATAACCCAAGGCATTGATGACATAAAGCCACAGGCTGACTTGAGTCTCTCTAGATTGTGCTTTGTGATGTGATATCTTAAAAAAACAAAACCAAAAAAGGAATCCTTACTGTGACCACTTGAGACTTGTAAAATACTTCCTGAGTATAATGTCTAACAAAAGGCAAAGTTTAAGACAACAGAAAGGTGACAAGACCCTTTATCTCTTCAGCTTTTGTTTTTGTTGTCTGTGGATAAAATTAATCATAAAGTCCTAAGGTAATGGTGAGCTCTTTGAGCCCTCATTCTGTTTGCTTTGATGGCCAGGCATAAGACTACAGTGGCCAGGAGGTCAAACCTATGATTTGGGAGGTACTGATAACATAGTGGGAGCATGAGCAGAAGAAATACCTAATGAAACATCTCAAGTTGCTTATTATTACAGATGGCAAAAATTGCCTCCAGCCACAATTTGTAGTAAAAGCTGTTTTCTTTGTGGGGAAACCCCACCCCACATCCAGCCTTTTCAAATCTAGTTACAAGAAAAAAATTAGCCTCTAGTTACGATAATAAATTAGCATCTTTGTGAAATGCAATTTCATTGTGCCCCGAACATAGGAGTTTTCTTTCCTTCCTGGGGAGGAAAACGATGACATATACTTTTTTCCAATAACCTTTTATCAGGGGCATTCTAATAAAACCTTAAGATGATGGGGAAGAATAGTAAATTTTCTTTTTCCTTTTTCTTTCTTTTTTCTCCTCGCATCGCTTTGCTTTGCTTCTCTCTCTCTTTTTTCTTTTTCTTTTTCTTTTCTGACAGAGTCTTGCTCTGTCACCCAGGCTGGAGTGCAGTGGCCTGATCTTGGTTCACTGCAACTTCTGCTTCCCAGGTTTAAGCCATCATCCCACCTCAGCCTCCCAAGTAGCTGGGAACTACAGGTGGCTGCCACCATGCCCAGCTAATATTTGCATTTTTTATAGATATGGGGGAGTGGGGGGAATCTTATGTTGTCCAGACTGGTCTTGAACTCCTAGGTTTGAGTGATCCATCCACCTTGGCCTGCCAAAATGTTGGAATTACAGGCTTGAGCCTCCAGGGCCGCCAGAGAAGAGAAATTTTCACTTGGCTCCATTCTATAGAGGCAGGGCTCCTCAAAATAAAGAACTTGGTAGAGAATAACTTTGTTAGCCTGTTGTCTCATCCTCATCCTTATTCTAGAGCAGTTTTTCAAGCACCTGAAAGCATGGCTACATGAAAGTAGCAACATGGCTTTGAATTACAACTTAATTATCATCAGTTTTTGCAAGTGGGCAGACCACATAATTTCTTCGTACTTGTTTTCTTGTACGAAAACCAAGAACTGAGATAATATATTTCATAGGATTTCAAGAACTGAGATAATAATGAGTAATTGCCACAGTTGTCAACACAGACACTCAAGAAGAGTTAATCCTTTTGCCCTTTCTTTTTTCTCTGATTTTTGCCTGTAAATTGTCAAAACAAAGTCTGAACTAAAAGATGGTGGCTTTCATTAACTCTTGTAGTATTTGTCAGGACTTTTTATACCTTGGAAGCCTTTAGCCTGGGGATGTTTTTTTTTTTTTTATTACAGAACCTTCTCTACTTGTGAAGGTTATCATAGGAACTTTTGAAGATCGATGTGGCAAAGCCTCCTGCTGTAGCCTCAGTGCCTTGGCTCTACCCAATGCCAATGATTGGTAGTAATGGTTTCTTAAAAACTGTCACTTTTCACATGTGGCAAAAATGATTTACTAGAATAGGCTACAACTTTAAAACATTAAAGTTGAAATGATGTAAGATGACAAAGTTTATGTGTCTCTCATGCTTTGTTCAGTGAGATTACCCTGAGGACCTCTGCTCATTGCAGTCACTCAGGCACCCAGCCTGATGGAGGAACTATCTAGATAATTCATTCCACTTTCATCAAGGAAAGGGCAAGGAAGGTGATGAATCCTACACCACTTTTAATGCTTCTGCCTTAAGGTGACAAGTATTACTTGTACTCACATTTCATTAACCAAAGTGAGTTATATGGCTGTGCCCAACTTTAAAAAGGGATGGAAAATGCAGTCTGATTATGTACCAAGAAGGAGGTCTGGCATATTTGTGAACAGCTGTGGGGAGTGCCAACAGAGATGGAGTAGGGATCTAACCCAGATCTGCCTGTTTCCAAAATTCATTCTCTTCGTTACCTCAGAAAATTGATAGAATCTTATCTTCAGAATGTAAAAGTTGAAATCTTTTAACCGTAGGAATATTAGTTTTCATCTGTAGGCAGGAATCTAATAAATATCATAAAATATCCATAGAATCATCAGTTTTCTTGGTCTGTATGTGGTCCTAGGTATGTTTCCTAGGTACAGTGTTTCAGAATACTATCAGTCCATTGTACCCACTCTGTAAAGTACATAAAGTCATATATAGTTATTTTAGCATTTCCTCTCTTGTTTTCATCATTAAAATAAATGATGAGAACATACCTAAGGAGTTTTCTACAATAATACTGTGCGGAGCCTTTCTAAGATGTTTACCTTTTTTCCTTTCTTTCTTTTTATCCCCCCGCCTTTTTTTTCTAAAGAAAGTTTCATTCTGTCACCAAGGATAGAGTGCAATGTCATGATCATGGCTCACTGCCACCTTGACCTCCCAGGCTCAAGCTGATCCTCCTGCGTCAGCCTCCTGAGTAGTTGGGACCACAGGTTCACACCACTATGTCTGTCTAATTTTTTCTCTCTCTCTATATATATTTTTACAAGATAACGGGTCTTGCCATGTTGCCTAGGCTGGTCTCAAACTCCTGGGCTCAAGCAATCCTCCTGCATCAGCCTCCCAAAATGCTGGGATTACAGATGTGAGGGTGTATATTACAGTAAGGAATTATATTTGGCTGCATGTAAGAGAGCCCTTACTGCAGTGGTTACTTCACATGGAGTTTTGTGTTTCTCCTGTGTATCAGAAGTGCTGAGGTGGGCAGTCCTGACTGGGAATGCAGCTTGCAAAAGACTTCAGGGACAAGTATTCTTTTCTTTCTGTCCATCATCTTATGTATTTGGCTTTAATTTTCATGTTTCTTGCCTAGTAGTCACATGATGCTTGTCCTGCCTTCAACAACCATTTTCTAGGCAGGAAGAAAGGGCAAAAGCCTATGCCGCCGAAGTTTGCCCCCTTTAAAGAGTATCTCTAGAAGCCCCATCCGAAGACTTCTATTTACATCTTCTTGGATAGGTTGGGTCATTAGTCAATGTAATATTAGTAGCTGGACACATTGCTACCTTGAGGTTAATTTGAATTCTTTTAATAAGGGAGAAAATAATGAATATGAAGAAGCAACTGCTAGTGACTATCACTATCTTTAAGAGTTCCTTGTAAATTGAAGCTATTAAGTCCTCTTCTACCACTTATGTTGTGCATCAGCCTTCCAAAATGCTGGGATTTACAGACCTTATTGTAGTTGGGAATTATATTTGGCTGCATGTAAGAGAACCGTCACTGCAGTGGTTACTTCACATGGGGTTTTCTATGTGGGTTAATAAATTTTCACATAGACATTGTGATTTTTTGTGGTTAAATCTATCCGTTTTTTTCTTTGTTTCTTTGGTGCTTTATTAACGATCTGTTTAATTAAGGTTTTTCTTTTTCTTTTCGGCTATTATTTTTGAAAACATCTACCCAGGGATCTCAGGTCCAAGGAAAGAATCTCATCTAAAATATGTTTAAAACACTGGCATAAATAACTGTTGTTATTTATTTTTTAAATTTTTTATTTGAGTAACTTTAGGTAGAGAATATACTCCAGTTGTATTGCAACTGCCACTATTCTTGACTGGCTTATAAAGATCCACCCAGTTTACTTGTTTATGGCTGGCCTAAAGGTATTTGAGTTTAGACAGGTTCAGTTATTATTTAAATGGTTACAAACGCACCAAAACCTGAGTGTCTAAGTTGTATGTGGTCCATGCGACTAATATGAGAGAAACAGCAAACCGTTTACCCATTGCTGCCATCATCTAATTGTTATCAGGTGTCAGTAAGCTTGCATTAATTTGTGAGAGAAACTGAATTGACTGTTATGATGTACTTATCTTTGCATCTAAATGTCTCAGTCTGCTTGTTACAGATTCAATTATAATGGCAACAATTTTTCCTGGTGTTTGAATAAGTTAATGTATAAAACTAATATCAGACTTTATTACCTATGTGGAAAATCAGTATTTGTATCTTTTTACTAAAATTCCTTAGTGTGGTATTAAGGTGTGAATTTTAAAGACATTATTTAGCTAGAAATAATTATATATTTATTAGAGTGTCTATTGTTTCTCGTAGTTAAAAGCCCATCATAAGAAACATATTTCTGAATGAAAAATATAGATAGAATATCATGATTTGTCACAGATACTTTTTTAGTGTCTTTTTTTTTTTCTTAACAGACTTTGCTTCGCCCTCTACAAGCTTTATGCTCTTTCCAGCTTCAGCATGGTGCCCAAATTCGCCTCAGCAAGGAACACCTTCTGAAAAATGGATTATATCCTAAACCAATGCCAAAGAACAAACGCAAACTCAGGAAAATGGAACTGTTAATGAATAGTGTTAAAATTTAGTACAGTTGTTCATTTGGTGCTAGCTTACCTGTCTTCATCTAGCAATACCAAGTTAAGTTTTCATATAGTGTAGGTCTGTAGGTTTTTTTACTTGGTAGAGAAGAATGAGAATTGCATACTAATCTTGCCCAGAAGAAGGAAGTAAACCAGATATTCATAAAAACAAACACACAAAAATTCAGTGGCTTACCGAAAAGCTAGATTTCACACTGTACTTGTTTTTTAAACTGTACCTTTAATACATGTTTTCAAACCCGAATTTGAAATGTGATTTGTTGTTGAGCTGGGTTAGAAGTTCTTGCTTGTAAAATAGAAGGAAATTGTTGTGTTGGATTGGAACAGTACTGTTTCCATTAATGTTTATAAATAATTAGGTGTAGACCAATAGTATATCTATATCAATTTGCAGTCCTAGCATTATAGTTTGAAATAAGTAGCAAAGGAAAATTACAATAATGAAGTAATTTATTATTTTGTGAAATAGTATAAAGGAATAAGGAAACTTTAAGTATTGTTTAGAGGCTAAATTTAAACTCTGCTAATATGATTTAAGTGTTCTGTTAATTGCCCTGATTTTTAGGGAGGTACATGTAATTTTGAAATAGCAAACATTTCATTTGCAATCACTCTGGATAAATTATTTTTTCACTGTTCATTGAACAGGCTTATTGACTATAGTAAACTTATTTTATTGACTTTTTCATATGGAAAATAATAACTGGAATGTGATAAAGCTTATTTTCAGAACGTATTTCTCTAAGTAGGGCTATTTAAAATAACCTTTTTAATGAGAACAAACTTTCAATTTGAGAGAACAAATTCCTCCTGCTCTTTGGGAAAATGTTTACTGAGATTTTGTATAGAATAAGAGACATATATGTAACATATATTTATGTTCAGTATATATTCAGCATAAGTCTGCTGCAATTATGTACACATCTTGGCAATAATAGGGGATTTTGTTTAGTCTTTGTTTATGACTTCTAGAGTTTCCTGTATCTAGTGTTAAGTTGTAAGGAAAAGCTAAACATGCGATTTCAAGGTAAGCTTGATAACTATGGAACATGAGCATACACCAATGATTATTTCTCACAGTCTTCATGCTCATTTGCTTATTATTTACTTGGATTAGACTCATTAAAACCTATAATGCTAGTCACAATTAGAATGCTGATATTTGGGGAAACTATGCAGAAAATATTTTAAAATGTTGAAAGTTAGAGTACTACTTTTGTTGTTGATTTATTTCTGGATTTAAAAACAATTAGGGCTGGCCCAGTAGCTCAGACCTGTAATCCCAGCACTTTGGGAGGCTGAGATGTGAGAATTGCTTGAGCCCAGGAGTTTGAGACCAGGCTAGGCAATATGGTAAAATCCTGTCTCTACACAAATTTTATATATATATATAAATAATTAGCCAGACATGGAGCTATGCTCTTGTAGTCTCAGCTTCTTGGAAGGCTGAGGTGGGAGGATCACTTGAACCCCGAAGGTCGAGGCTACAAGAGTTATGTTCATTCCACTGCACTGCAGCCTTGCTACAGAGTGAGACCTGTCTCAAAAAATAAACAAACAAAACTAGCTCATTGACAATGTAAAACACCTAATATCAAATGATTATTTGGTTTACTAGAAAAGAAACAGCATATAATAATAATGTATAATAGTTTCTTAACAAGTAGGGCTAAAATCATTTTATAGTAATTTTTCACATTGATATTAAACTTCATGAGTTTCCTTTAGTCATTGTTGTGTTTTAAAAAGAAAACTCCCCCCTCCTCTAAAATCCCATTTTGTAACTCAAAATTTAACTTCGTTATTAAGAGGAATTTCTACTTTTATCTTTAAATAAAACATTTTAGAGTATTTTTGAAGCCTTAAAAAGATTTAAATTTACTGTTTTTGGAAATATATAAAATTTCCTATTAGGTATGTATAGTTTTCCAAATAATTCTACTGAACTCACTTCACTTGCTTTTTAGTTATTTTTTCCTGACCCCTTAACACGTTGAGTCCGTTTAATCATCTGTGCTATAAAATGCTTCTCTAGTCACCTGTTTTCTTTAAACAGTTTTAAGTAAGTTTTAAAAGCCATTATTTTAATTACTAAAAGTATTCAAAGTGTAGTATTATGTGAGCATTTTAACTGAAAATTTAATCAGGCTTTTAAAAAATTACTTTTTTATTGTATTAGTTGGCTATTAAATTCAGATTCTTTATGTTTGCTTGATTTTCCTGGAAGTTCCAGGTTTTATAAATTTGTAGCTGATAGTAGGCTTAACTTGTGTACCCCAACTGTACTTTGATATGGTGTAGATGTTTTTGTGAGTTATTTGAACCATGTAACTCAGAGATTAGTATTTCCTTATATTTAAAGTGACTCACTTTTAATGAGGCCATTTATACTATTTTGAAAATCACTGTGTGTAATGAGAGATATTGTTTCTCACACATATGAGTATAAAAGGTTGAGAACTATATTATACAAAGTAAGTCACAGTTCGTGACAACTTTCTACAGGTTGGATTACAAGACTTCTTTTGTGGAATAGGAGAATTATATTGGGAATAATTATTTTCTCTAATTTTAAGACTCCAGAGATACTTTTCTTAGCCATGACCAGTAATATTTTTCAAAGACTTTGGAAAGAATAAGCTCCTCACTATACCACCAGTTAGTGATTTATTTTTTTTTACTTTTTATTTATTTTTATTTATTTTTATTTTTTTAAAGAGACAAGTTCTCCTTCTGTCACCCAGTTTGGAGTACAGTGGTGTAATCATAGCTCACTGCAGCCTCATACTCCTAGGCTCAAGTGTTTCTCCCGCCTAAGTCTCCCAAGTAGCTAGAACCTCAGCCCCATGTCACCACACTCAGCTAATTTTTAATTTTAATTTAATTTTTGTGAAGATAGGGGGGTCTCTCTGTGTTGTTTAGGCTGGTCCTGAACTCTTGGCCTCAAGCGATCCTTCTACCTTGGCCTCTCAGTTAGTAAATTATATAGAAAAGCACTTCTGTATAATTTATTCAGTTTCTTCATCACATATTTTCAACTGTTGCCCTAAATAGGTTTAAAAATGTGATCATGCTATAAGAAAATCCTTTCCATTGAATTTCAGGGATGCTGAATTTCAGGGAGCTAAATTATTGACCTTTATATGTAATTGTTGTTGGTACAAAAGTAAATTTTATTGATGCTACAAGTGAAAAATTAGGCCTGACTTGGTAAACTCAAAAGTTTTGCATAACTATATTTTACTATGTAGACGTATTTCTTTAAAATAGGGATGGACATTTTTATGAATAAATAATATTGTATTATAGATATAATGAAACTTTGCATTTAATTGTGCCTCATAAGTAGGCTTTTTCTAGAATGAATCACTATCTCTGAAATTGTCCAATCTAAATTTTTATTGGCTACATTAAATTAAAGCATATTCTCTCTCTTTTCACACCTTTTCCCTCCTTCCAAGGCTCTTCCTCTTTCTCTTTCATCACTTCCATTGTCCTCCTTCCTTTTCTACTATTCTTATCAGATATTTTAAAGGTTATTATTTATACAAATACTCACATATCCTTGCATAAGCATTTTTTAAAAACAAAAGATACTGTAGTGGTTTTAACAGTTTACAATTTTATATTTAAAAATTATTTAGGAAATATGGAAATCCATGACTTTTTACACCATGCTGATTACTTGGCTCCTGTCTTAGTTCATTCCAGCTGCTATCTCAGAATACCAGACACTAGATAGCTTATAAACAACAGATATTTATTTCTCATAAGTCTGGAAGCTGGGAAATACAGTATCAAGGTACCCAGCAGACTTGGTGTCTGGTGAGGGCCCACTCTCTGGTTCATAGATGGTGCATTCTAGCTGTATCTTCACGTAGTGGAAGAGTTGAGCTAGCTCTCTGGGGCCATTGGGACCTAATCATCCCCCAAAGCTTCCGCTTCCTGATACTATACTGTGGGAATTAGGGTTTCAAGATGTGAGTTTTGTGGGGACACACATATTCAGACCATAGCAACTCCTGTACTCTATTAAAAAGCTCTATTAAAAATGTTCTTATATTAGAGAAATAAGTAATTGTCTTTCAAATTTTAAGAATTATACACTTGAACTAACAATGTAAGAATTATTTTTGAAAGAAACTTTAAGGTTTTTTAAAAAAAAATTTGGGTAAGAAACTATTCTATATGACTTACTATTAATTGTTACCCTTAGAAGTATACTAAAGAATTAAAATATTTTAAAAAGTGCACCTACCTTAGGATTATTTTTATCACAGAGTACTCCTTACTGATTTTGCATACAAATACCGTTTACTCATTTCTCCCTCCAAATATGTTATTTGCAAGGGGAAAATTTTCTGATTTTTTTGTATACAAATGTAATTTTATGGAAAATTGTTGCTAGGAAAGCAGGCAATGATTTACAATATGATCATTAGATTTTGCAAACTTACTGTGTAGTATTTTAGCTTTATTAAATACTTTAATTTCTAAACTTGCTTCTTAGTAAAATCCATGAAGAAGGATGTTTAAATGTATGTCATTTCAAGTCTAAAATGTAAAACTTCCCTTTTTTTCCATTTCTAGAATTGTCGGTAGTTATTTAAATGAAACCAATGTTTTAGCATCATATTTTAATACTTACTTTTTTGGTAACTCTCTGAACTCTTGCAAATTCAAATTCTAAGTGGCAATTTATGACAGATAGTTTCATCCAAGGCATGTATGTTCTCCTATAAAAGAAAAAAATTCACTTAGTGAGTAAGGTGAAAGTAAAGATTAGTAGATAAAATGGGTATCTTTAAGGTAAAATATGTCGTTAACAAAGTGACTAATTCTTTAATTTGTAAAGTGTTTAGTAAGTTAAAATAGGAAAAGTGAATTATAGTGTCATTTCTTGGCTTTTCACTTGTGCTAATTGATTTCATTTCTTTAAAAAGTATTGGTCATCATTTAGTTTAGTTCATTAATATCTTTGTTGATGGGATATAGTAATAGTTTACTTAGGACTAAACAGCTGCTAGTTTCTAATATCTAATAGTCAATAAATTCCTAATATAATGCTAAACCTCATTGTCATTTAAAAATAGTTAAATCACTAATAATCATGGTTATTTTGTTATATACTCTTACTATTGTTGATAACAAGTTATTTGAATTGTTTTTAAAAATGTAATTGCCATAGTTTTTCATTGATGATTCTCATTAATTTTATCATTAAAATATAATAAACATTTAATTTGAAATATATGAATTATATCTAGTATTTAGCAGCAAAGAGGAGAGTCTGTTAATATCTCTCCCCATGCATGTACCATTAGTTTGGAAAATGAATATATTATGTTAGTAGTGAAATAAGGTTGGATTTCCATAAAATGTCAGGTTTTAGTTTATGTTAGCATTTTCTGTAACTTCTGTCTTTTATGTTTAGTAGATAGATTTTAGTTTATTTAATTAGTGATTCTCAGTAATTAGTCCAATAAGCCATTCATTTATTCAATAGATGTTTTAATTAGCATTTAATAAGTGCCAGGCACTGTTTTAAATGCTAGAGAATACAGTGATGGAGAAGACAGAATTTCTGTGTTAAAAAATTGAAGTTCTGATGGTTGATCATAATAAAATAATTTCAGTTATTGAGAACTGATATGAAAGTGGTTCTGTAGTAGAGAGCATAATGAAACTTTAGTCACAGTAGTTGGGAAAAGCCTTGCTGGAAGAGGTGACTTTTTAGAGAAATAATAGATCAAAGGAATCAATCATCAATACTGTAATATCTACTTTATTGTGATGGTCTGGAACTGAATCCACAGTATCTCCAAGGTATGCCTGTATTATAAGCTAAGTTTGAAATAAGTGATCTGCTATGGTTTGAATGTCCCCTCATGGGGGAATTGGTGCCATTATGAAAGAGTGAGTTTGTTCCCTGTTAGACTCCTGATGTTTTGCCTTCCATCATGGGATAATTCAGCAAGAAGGCTCTTACCAGATGCCAGCTCCTCAGTCTTGGACTTCCCAGCCTCCAGAACGGTGAGGAAAATAAATTTCTGTGCTTTATCAACAGTCTATGGTATTCTGTTACAGCAGCACAAAGTAGACTAAGATATGATCTATGCTTTGGTCTTATCTTTGAGTTTAGTCTGGGAAACAGAATGCATATGTATGTTATGGTAAAGGGATTTATTGTAGGTATTAGACCTTACACAATTATGAGTGAACTAGGAAAGTGAAGGTCCAAAAGGGGGAATTAGAGGATCAGAAAAGAAGTCACTACTCAGTCCTTCTGAAGCAGTGGCATAGGTAAGCAAGTGAGATCTTAAATTTCTGAGAAGTCAAGCACTTTTGGCCACCAAAGTGGGAATGTGAGGTGATGTTGTCTCAGAATAGCTGACGTCTCTGTGGGTTTCCGGTTAGGGTGTCTGCCAGTGGGCCTTGTGCTGATGTTGGTCAGGTGGACTAGCAGGCGGGAAAAAGAGGAGAGTCAGGACAAGCTGGAAACTTCTGGGCTGGTTTTCATTTGTCTAACACCTTACCTGGCCTTCAGAGAATAATGGCTGTTTCTTTACTTCCACTTTCCAAATCTCAAGCAATTTCCTCTTCAAGCCAACCCTTACTGGAATGCATACAAGAAATAGAATTCTGGAAAATAGAGTTCCCAGTTTGAACCATGTTGTGACAATACAGTGACCACACACAGTTCACCTTTTGCTTGGCCTTCCCACAC